GGTCAGGCACTGAACCTTGGCCCCCTGCCACATCCATGCCAGACTGTCCCTTATCACAGGGATTATTGGCTTTTTATATTAAACTTTCTCTAGATAGCATAACACAATCAGCCAGGCACAAGGCAATGGCTGGACAGGCCTGAGAGTGATTTACATGCGATCTGCCTCTCTTGTCCCCCTTTCACATAAGGGACTGTTTTCCTTCTCTCCCTCAGCACCTCCCAACTCTCCTGCTGCTGTTAGGAGCTGTGCAGGTCTCCCTGCTACAGCAAAAGGCTGGGATGAGCAGTGGGGCTGCATGGGATGAGCAGTGGGGCTGCATGGGATGAGCAGTGGGGCTGTGTGGGATGAGCAGTGGGGCTGTGTGGGATGAGCAGTGGGGCTGTGTGGGATGAGCAGTGGGGCTGCATGGGATGAGCAGTGGGGCTGTGTGGGATGAGCAGTGAGGCTGCACAGGCTCCCAGGGAGCTGAGGGAGCCAGATGTGCAGCACTCTCCTCCTCACAAACATGGCATTGGCAGGGCACAGATGTTTCCAGCAGTGCTGCTCCTCGCCCCCATCATCACCCAGCCCCAACTGCTCCATCCCCTGGGACACCCAGGTGCCCCTGATGGGACACAGCAGAGTCCCAGCACCTCAGTGCCCACATGGGCAGCAGACAGAGCGTTTGTTCTGCACCATATGCCCACGGTTCCATGCTCACTTCCTGCTGAAACTGTCTTGCTGCTTGCTCTCAGAGGCAGAAATGAACACCAGCCCAAATTCCTCGCCTACACCAAGAAGAAAAATGAGAAACTGTCCCTGTGTGCATAAGGTCCCAGGCAGGAATGGCCTGTAGGCAGAAAGGGCCTTTCTCCAAGAACAGCCTTGGTCCAGGCAGGCTTTTTACAGCTGGTAAAACATTCCTACTCTCTTTGATCCCGTTTTATCAGTGACTTGGAATAATTGGGTTCCATTCCTCATGGTGGCTGCCCCCCACCCCTCCCTTCTGCTGTGGCCTGTGTTTTTGCTGCAGACTGATTAGGGGTAATTATCCTTTTTACCAGCCAAAGTGCAAGGAACAGTTCACACTCCTTGCAGGAAGCAGGAAAGGGATTTTGCAGCTGAGCCGTGATTAGGAAGCACATGGTAAGGATACCTGAACCTGCTTGCTCCCTAGGTGGTGTCCCTGAGGCATTTGGTGGGAGATAAGCAGGAAATTTGGAGCTGTGAGACAGTCAGGAGGTGCAGGGGAATCCCTTGACCCTTTGGTCATGAGAAGCTTCTCAGCACAATCAGTTTGCAGAAGCAGCGTGTGAATCACTTCTCATATGAAACCCAGACTGAGCCTGAAGGGAGTGACCCACAGGGCCTGGAATGGGCAAAGGAGCAGCTTCTTGACCAGGCCCACCCGTGCTGTGGGCATGGCCAGGGCTCAGGATTCTCCCCTCTCTCCTCTGGCTCCCTTGCTGGACAAAGGGAGGAGCAAGATACCAATTTTAGGGTCAAAAGGATCACTCAGGCTTTCCTCCTGCCCCTGTGCAGGATCAGTGTTCATCTACTGCACTGGAGCTTCACCAAATGCATATTTGCAGCAGTTTCTGAGATTTGCACAGGGGAGACAGATTGCTACACCCTTAAGAGTCTTTCTGTACTCGGCTAGTTCAGCAGCACTCCTCCAGGTAGGGAGAACATTTCTTCCTGACCTCAATTTATGACAAACACTGAAGCATGAGGCTGGATTGATTGCACAAGGAGATTGTGTCTTAGTAACTTGTGTGAATGCTGCAGCAGCTATGCTAATTCATCATTCCTTTATTTATGAAATCTGTGTGCAGGTTGAGTGCAATTAAATGATGTGCTTTGGGATCGTAGGGGATGAAAGGATCACAGAAAATGTAGGTTTGTTATCCTAGTTTACTGTGCACTGAGCCCACCTACAACACCATGACAAACCAGATGTGAAACATAAGGTTTAAAAAACCTAATCCAGCAATTGTTGTCACGGGCTTCATTTGTCAGTGTTGTTTGATCTCGGTGCCTTTCCTCCTCTTTTCAGAGAACTCAAATCTCGTGGCATCTTCCTGTGACAGGCAATTGAAGAACTTGTAAAATTAATTTTGGGGGAGGCTGAAACATTTGACACATGCTCTGCAGCTGGTCCCTGGTCCCTATCAGCACACAGAGAGAGTCCAGACACATTCCTCCTTTGAATATCACAAGGAGACTCTGCAACCCCTCTGGGCAACCTGTGCTCTGTCAGCAGCACAGGAAAGTTCTTCCTCATGTTCAAGCTGGAACTTCCTGTGCATTGATTTCTGCCCACTGTCCTATTGCTCAGCAGCTGAGCAGAAACTGCTCCATCCCCTGGCACCTCCCTTCAAATATCTGTGGATGTTGGTAAAATCCCCTCTTGGTCTTCTCCAGGCTGAACTCCCTCAGCCTGGCAGGATCACCTCCCTGACCTGCTGGCAATGCCTGCTCCCCTCTGCTCTCAAACATCTGGAACTCACAAGCAGCTAAGAAATGGGGCCAGAATGGAGAAAAGGGATGGTACTCTGAAATATCTGCAGTGCTGCCCAGCACGATGTGTCTGCATCTTGATGGGCCGTGGGATCTCCCTCTCTGTAGAGAAATGGGGGTCATCTTTGGGCTCAGCATTAACTGCTGAAAATGTGGGCCATGGGAACAGTTGCTCTGGAAGTGGCCTGACACGTTCAGGATCAGCTTTCTGCAGGAACAGGGACATGGAGCCCAGGGAATTGCACAGCACACTGGTGATAGAGCTGAGGGAAATCCCAGGTCTCCTGGGAACCCTCTGAGCACCAAAACTTTTCCATTAGGGTAGAAAGAGAGGGAAAGGATGGGCTGTTGTTGCTTGGAGACTGGCAGTTCTGTCATTCTTAAATCAACTCTTTGATCAGGATTCATCAAAATTTAACATCTGTGGACCCAAGCTTCCCATCAGCAGGAACCAAGCAAGCAGTCCAGAGGTTGGATGCGAATTTTATTGCTCCTTTTCTTTTGGCAAGCTGTGGAAATTTCTTCAGGATCTGCTGGCCTTTAGATTTTGATCCTGCCCAAGAGAAGGCAACCAAAACAACAGCCTCCAACACAATAGCTTCCAACACACAGCACCTTGTGGTTCAGAGCAGCCCAGCAATCCCAACTCGATAACTCTTTAGCAGTCCCAGATGTGTTACCTGTGTTACCCTCACAGCCTGAGGACCTGCAAAGAGGTCAAGTGGTTTGCCCAGTCAGGGCAGTGCTGCAGGGGCTACAGGAACCTGTCTCCCTAAGGACTCTCCACACCTGGCACTTCCAAAAGGCAACAGGTCACAAGGAACAGCCACTGTGCCTTTGATCCTGGCTGTACTGAGCCCTTCTGTCTGCTGAATAAGTTTCAGCTATTAAGCAAAATGATCACATCACCTTTGGCAGAGGTCTGTGATGAGGGAGGAACAGTCCTCCTGGCTGTGAGGTGCTTGTAAGGGAAAGAGAATGTAACAAAGGGAGTTGAGTAGTGATGCTGTTAAAGGCCAAACTGTAGAGACCACCAGAAAAAAAAAAAAATTACAAGCTTCTTTTAATTGAGGTAAAGAACGCATGGGAATAGCACAGGTATAAGAGAGATTTAAAGTGGAAAATAGAATGTTTGTGAGTATTTTGTGTTTCTGTCTCAGCCAAACTGCCAAGAGGCAAGGACTGGCAAACCACTGCATGAGCCAGGCTCGTGGAAGGCAGGTATGTAACAGCTCTATCGTGCTTTTTAGGACCTTCAAAAAAACTGCTTTAGATACAGACCCCAGGCAAGGCAGGGTAAGAGGTATGCAACCACAGGTGCCTGCAAGAGGGGGGCGTGTGTGTGTGGAGTCCAGGTGGCAGGTACAGTGCTTGGGGCAGGTTCCCACAGAGCACAGGGGGGCTGCTCTGGCAGATAAAGCCGCACTGGCAGCAAAAGAACGAGCACAAGGCTGTGCCATGGAGGGGATGCATCAGGCTGCTGGCTGGAGGACCTGCTACAGGTCAACAGGCACCCGGTAGGAAGTAATGAGAAAACCTGGGATAAAGCCAGCTCTGAGACCCACTGTGTGGAGAGATGGAGAGCGAGGGACAGCTCGGAGGTGGCAGCCAGAGAGCTCAGCTGGCAGGCTCGGTGTGGCCCTGGAGGGACAGGGCAGCGGCCGGAGCCTGGAGCACAGGGCCGGCACGGCAAGGCCTCAGCCTCTCCCTGCTCGGCACCGAGGGTTGGACGGCCGGGCTGGCGGGGTTTGATGGCTGAACCGGGCCCGTCCCACGCAGGCTCGGGCCCGGCCGGCTCCGGGCACCCGCGGGGGGCTCCGAGCGGTGCGGGACGAGCTGCAACGTCCGGGGCCTGGGCCCGCCCTGTGCCGCCATCCCAGCGGCCGCCAAGGCCCTACCCGCCCGGCGTAGCCCAACCGCGGGCCCGCGGAGGGCGAGGGGAGGCGGCGGCTCCGCGCTTGGCCCGGCCGCGCCCGGACACGGGAGGGTCCGCTCCCATCCCGGCCCGGCCCGCCCCGCCATGGGCGCCCAGTCCGCCACCTTCCCACAATGCCCGGCGGCCCCGCCCCGCTCCAGGAACGCGCGTCCGTGCGCCCTCCCCCCCCCTCCCCCCGCCACCGGCCAACCAAACCCAGCGCTCCGATTGGCCGCGGAGCCTCGTCCCGCCCGTCCGGGCCCGCCCCTCTGCGCACCGCGCTCTGCCATTGGCCGCGGCCGCTGCCAGTCAGCGCTTGTTTTCGGCGGCAGCGGGTTGGGTTGCGCCGGCTCGTCGGTGTCTCGGCGGAGCCGTGCGGAGGGAGCGGCGGCGCAGCCGGGCGAGAGCGGCGCGGGGGCGGCGGCGGCGGCGCTGGCGCTGGGCCCGGCCGCAGCACTCGAGGCCGGGGCGAGGCCGGGCCGGGCCGGCGCCGCGCAGGGCGGGAGGGTGGGGAGGGAAGGGGGCGCGGGACGCGGGACCGGGCCGGGCCGGGCTGGGCTCCCGGCCGTGCGGAGGACGGTGGTCGGTGCCGGGGGGGTGGGGGGGTGGGCGGGGGCGTCCCGGCCGCGACGCGACCATGACTCTGGAGTCCATGATGGCCTGTTGCCTGAGCGACGAGGTGAAGGAGTCGAAGCGCATCAACGCCGAGATCGAGAAGCAGCTGCGGAGGGACAAGCGCGACGCGCGCCGCGAGCTGAAGCTGCTGCTGCTGGGTGAGGAGCGCGGCGCCGGTCCGGCCCCAGGGGCCGCCGCGGGGCCCGGCCCGGGGCTCGGCAGGGCCGGGGGGGCGGG